GTTAACAATTGTTTTTTAAAAGCGTTTTAAACAGGATAAAACACCTTTAAAACCAGTAGAAAAATACATTAAAATACACTTTTCACCCTATTTAAAACCTATTTCACAAAACAGGTTAAAAAAAGTTTTCAAAAAAAGCTTAAAAATACATTCCAAACGGTGTTGAATTTGGTAAGGGTTAGCAATAAAAAAGTCTTACTTTCTCAGAACTTGATTCTTGAGTACATTTATAGTCCGCTCCTACTGCAAAACCCTTCAGTGTTATTCTGTTCTCACTTGGTAGTTTTTTTTATTTGAAAGGGCACGCGTGTTACGCTGCAAAATGGAACAATTGACGCAAAATGTAATATTAACGCGAAATGAAACTACCTTTGACGCGAAATGTAACATTAACCCGAAATGTAACAACTTTTGACGCAAAATGTAACAACTTCTTAACGCGAAATGTAACAACGTTTTGATGCAAAATGAAACAATGTTTTTAACGCGAAATGTAACAAGCAAAATGTTACAGCCTTGAAATAACTGAGAGACTTGGACATGAACCTTGTAGATAAAGTGTAAATTGTCTGGTGGTTACAAAAACAGTTTAAAGATAAACTTACAAAAGGTCGTAAAACAGGTGATAAAGTTACAAGTCATGTATAACCTTGGAATAGAAGTATGGACAATAACAACATCGCTAACGTATCAAACATACCGTAAGGAAAATGTCCCAAGCTATGCGAAAAGAATATGACTAGAAATGTGAACAATAACACCGTAGGAAACACGCACCAATCAACAGTTGAAATGCAAATTAAAAGTAAAAGTTAAGAAAGGTAATCTTTCAAAAGAAAATTTTGAACGTAGTCAATAACATAGATATGAAATTTCTCATTTCTTACCAGACTTCCAGTAAATGTGAGAAATTTCATACCAACCCAGTCCTGCTGCCTTAAAACTTAACCATGCCAACGCCCATTTAACATTGTTGATTATCTCACGCAGTCGGATGACTGCTCCGATACACTTTCCTTTTAGGGATAAAACAGAAAAGGGAAAAAACAGAAAGCGTCTTCACTCGATGAAAGTGTGAAAAGAAGGATCAGTAATCGATACTCGCCTCGATTTCATACGGGCTCAAATCCCTAGAGGGAGTATGCTAAAAATGTACCACCCTAACCAATCTAATACGTCTTGGACTATGTAACGCCAATTTTCTTTTAAGCGTCACACATAAGTACAAAAAGATATACTACACAACAATTCGTTCGACTGTTTCAGGATTTAGTTACTATTATCGAAAAACGTTTTGTAAGTTTATTTGACATTATAAGAAAACTTTATAAATAAACTGTTTTTGTAACCACCAGACAATTTACACTTTATCTACAAGGCTCATGTTCAAGCCTCTCAGTTATTGCAAGGCTGTAACATTTTGCTTGTTGCATTTCGCGTTAAAAATATTGTTTCATTTTGCGTCAAAAAAATGTTACATTTCGCGTCAAAAAGTTGTTATATTTTGCGTCAAAAGTTGTTACATTTCGGGTTAATGTTACATTTCGCGTCAAAAGTTGTTACATTTCGCATTAATGTTACATTTTGCGTCGATTGTTACATTTTGCGGCGTTGACACGTTGGTTCACTCGCAAGGTGTAAAGATGTAGCCTGCGAATACCGCTAGCCGTCTCTCAAAGCTCCTTAGCCGCTTTTTAAGGGACGTTTCGCAGGGGAGACTTTACTGCGAAACGTCCCTAGCGGCAAAGAGCGATGAGAGACGGCTGTATTCGCAGGTTAGTAAAGATTGCCCTTTCCACTTTACTTTACGCTCATTACGTATCATTTTAAACCTTTTTATTGTATACTTGATATTTGACCTATCGAAAATGGGTTTACGCCTTTGACCGGACAACGTGACTGGCGCGTACCTGTTAGTTATTACAATCTGATTGGCTTGGCTAGATACATCTTGTGGAAAGCTTAAAGCACATTTTGAATGGTTTTGGAACCAGATATAATTCAACAAGTGCTGCTAGAGGTACTAATGAATGGATTGAAACAAAATTCTTGCTAAGGGTTATGTTGCGGACAAAAATTCCTGCAAATACAAGTAAGTGCTAAAAAAAAATTCATACTCAGAAGAAATTGCCCAACCCTCCCTCCTAAAAAGTTAAATGGTCCGTCCCTAAGGTCAAAATGCTTGTTTTTGGTCGCAAGAGGTTACAAAAATCTGACTAGGTTGCCCTGGTGCAATCCTAGTGTGTGTGTGTGAGTAAATGATAACCTTTCTCTATAATAAGAGATATGTACTCTCCTGATCGCACCCCGATACATTCCGTACTTCGAAAGAGGACAATGTGTAAACCGCTGACCATTCCTAACCCGAAAATCCAACTCGAAATTCTAACACGAATTCTAACTCGAGAATCCAACTCGAAAATCCATCTCGAAATCCTAACTCAAATGCTAACACGAAAATGCAACTAGAATCCTAACTAGAAATCTAACTCGAAATCCTAACTCGGCAAATATGTATCCTCACTTTGACGAATCCTTACTTTGGTCACATATTAGGCAACATATTGAAAGTAGATTTATGAAAGCTAAAATCCTGTTCAGCTTCTTAAAGTTTGTTGTTGAACGTGCTTGTCCGAAATTGCGAAGCATTAATTAGATGGGGTATACGTGGCTTCGTGGAGAGGGATAACTTGGCAAGCCAAAGAAACAAAACAACAAAGGTTACTTTAAAATAAGAAGAATAAAAGATGTAGAGTGATGTTAAACGTTATTTATAACACTTTTTAAAAATGTACTCGGCATATGTGAATAGGCATTAAGTTCAGAAGCACGCATTAGCGGATAGACTGTAGGTAGCTTTTGCTAATTATACGAAGAACAGGTGAAGAAAATTCACCGTAGATCCCCCTCGTTTCCTTAAGTAAACGAAAGCCATCAACACCCATATATGCCATACTCCAATTTGTAGCTCAAACGCACATGGTGATAGGATCACCCACCGCAGCCATCAGCTAATATATAGATTGAGCCAGGGCTAAAAGCGAAGCTCCAATTAATAAATTTATAATTTAAATCAAACAATAAACTTTTATAACGTAGTTACTAAAACAAGGAATGACCTACAATGACCTACAATGACCTACAATGATCTACAATGACCTACAATGATCTTCAATGATCTACAATGATCTACAATGACCTACAATGATCTACAATGATCTACAATGACCTACAATGAGCTACTATGACCGAACGTGTAATCCCTATAATGAGCTAAAATGAAGATTTTAGAAAAAGACAAAAAAAAAAAGATCAGGGAACATGTGTGCGTGAACGTAACGCGTTTAGTCTACTGCATGATAGCCCATTTAACGATGACAGCATCTCTAATTATTACGCTTGGAGATACATTTACAGTGTAATAATACATGTATGATGATACTGTGACTTTTGTCCAAACCATCCCTTGCAACCTTTCGCATTAGTTTTATTTTGTCTTTTTTCAAACAAATTAAACAAACACAGTCACCCCAACAATTGATCCGGGGGGATCTTCAAGGGACGTAAGGGTAGAGATGAACAAGGGAGGCCTTCAAATTCTGACCCTGTTCAAAAGAAAAATTGTTCATTTTTTTTCAAGTACCCTGGCCTGTATAAGACATCATAAGACCCTTGAAATGGCTTTCGGTCCAACAGGATGCTCTGTTTGTAACGCTAAGTAGTAGAATCCATATCCTGCTCAGCGGCCCATACTAAGGGAGTGCCTACATGACTTCCGTCAATACAGGGTATAATAGTGCTATAACGGTATAGTCAGGAAGCACTGTCAGGCAGGGCGCTCACTTTTCATTTTCGCTAAACATTTTGAGTAGAAGCTTAAAATCTTCGTTTTGCCATCCTGATTAAGAATTGTGCTGTTGCCCACTCCAAATGTTATGATATCTGTCATTAAGCGGGTTTTTTGTCAAGGCCCTCGCTCCTGCAGCATGAAAACGAGGCTGAACTGTAACATTTATATAAACCCAATAAAAAGTGCACAATACGATGGGGAAATAGCTGAATCTTTGTTACTTGAGCTCGATAGACCGCAGTGTGAGATAAAATGCGTCACGTGATCAGTTATGAAGAGTCACGTGACTTTCCAATAAAATCGATTTTAAATCATAAAAGACGCTCTATTCACACTTTCCTTTAACATAGTTTTCAACTTACTGACGTTTCTCATTTCGATATACACATCCAACAATAAAAACACAAAAATGCAATAGGAGATCAGCTACGATGGGTCACGTGACTAGATAACAACCATTGAATGGATACTGAATTAGCCTTCGCTGTGTGAATAGCGTGATTGATTAATTGTTTCAGTAAGATCTTCAGGAATTATTTTCTATAAGAAATAAAAAAAAACTATGTTTCATGAGGTAAATATGTGCTTCAATCTGTCGGAAACATTGGCCACTAAGTTTACGACTGGGAACGACGATGATGTATTAGTAGATGCCCTGACTAGCAGTGAGCTTGTTAATGAAGTTGGACAAGCTGCACATATCATCAAAGCTTTTGATGCCGCATATCATGACAACCCCTCGTTCTGTTACTGGAAACAATACATGAAACTGGTATCCATCTTACAGAGGTTTACGATCCGGGAAGGGAAGTGGGATCTGTATCTCTCTTCGTTCTCCGAAATGCTACCCTATTTTGCGGCTTTGGACCACACGAATTACACCAGATGGGGCGTCATATTTCTTGCAGACATGAAGATGCTTCCGCAGACTGCCCCTGAGGTCCAGCAGGCAGTTAAGAGTGGCGACTTTGTCACAAAGGAGACAGCCGGCACCTTCAATCAAATTCCCGACGACTAAGCACTGGAGCATGTAAACAAATCTGGAAAGGTAGCTGGAGGCCTTGTTGGAATTACAAGGACAGACTCGGCTCGAGATCGCTGGTGACTTACCTACAATGAACGCGCCAAGCTGTCAGAAGACACCAAAGAGATGTTTAACGTCTTAAAAAGAGAATGCACTAGCGCCAAAGATCTGGGAAAAGGCAGAATGCGACAAGATGCAGAGGATGGAGTTAAGCTGGATGCGCAGTTTACGAAATACAAGGTCTTCTGATGTACGTCTGACTTAGTTGTAGTTACCACTGGGGATGTGGCAAGTAACGCCATTAAACAAGATCTACTTGGCGTTGAGGAAATTGGTAAGAAAGTCATCAAAGAGTTCGTTGAAACCAGACTCATCAAGAAAGAAATAAAGTTCTTTGACACTCAAAAGCAACAGAGGGTGAAAACCTTTGAGACACTTTACACTGTACCAGTGTCAGCTGATAAGAGCAAGACCAAGGGTGAGAAGGGTGATAGTAGCCTTGGAATCCGGTCGTGATGTAGATGTGAATACGTTGCTTCAAAGCGAGCTGGCTACAGTCCCAAAGTCACTTGCTACCCTAGACGGAAGTCTCCCAGAAGCAGGGAAGTCGGATCTTGGTACCATTTTACAAGGAAATGTCTGTAAGAGGAAAATGCCCATCAGCAGGAGTCAAACATGTACTATTATTGATGGAATGGCAGCTATTCAGTCCCTCGCCAACTCTTCAGGAGCAAAACCCTTTGGGGAGTGGAGTGGCCGATTTCTTTGTCATGTCACTTCCCATTTTTCGGACAGTTGTACAAGGGTTGACGTGCTATTTGACAGATATGTCAAGAACTCGATAAAAAGAAGAACCAGAGACAAGCGCGAGGAGAAAAAGAGCACAGGGATTAGGCGCAATGTGGATAACACTCGGAGATTAGAGAATTGGAAACTGGGAAAGGTTCATCATTCTAGAAGATAACAAGGCTAGCCTAGCTCATTTCCTCTCGACTGAAATCTCGGAGAGTTACAGCGCGCCTCCTGGGCGAGAGCTGGTGATCAGTGGAGGCTTCAAGGATACACTGAGGGTGTGGTCATCTGACACATCACGACAAGATATAAGACAGCTCGCATCAGATCATGAGGAGGCAGATACTAGAATAGTACTGCATGCCCGAGACGCAGCAGCAAGAGGGTACAAGCAAGTCAACATTTTGTGTCGTGATACGGACGTACTTGTCCTCCTTTTGGCACATCGAGAGCGGCTTTGTCCATAGATATGGATGTTTGCGGGTACATCAAGACAAAGGCGTTACATACCAGTTTACAGGATTCCGCTCTCCGAGGAGAAGAGGAAGTCGCTTCTGGCATTTCATGCCATTACTGGCTGTGATACGACAAGCCAGTTCTATGGTGTGGGTATGGCATCAGCATGGAAAGTCTTCGAAGATGCACCTGACCTCTTGGAACACCTTGGAGAAGAAAGCCAAATCAGTGCTGACGTTCTTGCCAAAGCTTAAGCCTTTGTATGCAAACTCTACAATCCGGGAACACAAGAGGTGGAAATCAACAAAGAAAGAGAAGCAGCGTTTCGCAAATCCAAGAAAGATCTCGACGCCTTACCTCCGACTCAAGATGCACTGATTCTCCACCGAAAGCGAGCAAACTATCAGACCATGTTATGGAATAAAGCGCTGGAACCATGTCCTTCTCTCTAAAGCCCTGAAGGACAGCGAATGGTAATACAGTGAAGGCCTTCTGAAGCCAAACTTAATGAAACGAGTAGAAGTGTCAGTGGCGTGTTTACAGTTAGGATACTGTGGGTGCTCTCGGAAAGGCGGATGTTGTGTAAACCGACGCTGCACTTGCGTTCAACTATCTCTTTGCTGTTCCAAGGCATGTAAATGTGGCGACAGGTGCAGAAACGACAGGAACACTGCAGCAAAGGCGAATGAAGCATGACCTATAACTTTGATAAGGTGGAAGTCACATGGTGGTCTTGTGTAATATAAGATACTTTGCTTATGGTTTATAAGCTTGTATTTCTGTCCTAAAACCGTGCAGCCAAGTAGAAGAAAGTTCAGTCTTTTTACATGAAAAATTCTAACTCATGGGAAATGTTACATAGGTTGGAAACGCTATAGAATGACTGAAATAGAATGATTTCATTACATCACATGATCCATCATAGCTGATCACCTATTGCATTTTTGTGTTTTTATTGTTGGATGTGTAAATCAAAAAGAGAAACGTCAGTAAGTTGAAAACTATATTAAAGGAAAGTGTGAATGGAGCGTCTTTTATGCTTTAAAATCGATTTTATCGGAAACTCACGTGACTCTTCGTAACTGATCACGTGACGCATTTTTTTCTCCCACTCTACGGTCTATCGAGCTCTACACGTCAAGTAACAAAGATTCAGCTATTTCCCCATCGTATTGTGCACTTTTTATTGGGTTTATATAAATGTTACAGTTCAGCCTCGTTTTCATGCTGCAGGAGCGAGGGCCTAGACAAAAAACCTGCTTAATGACAGATATCATAACGTTTGGAGTGGGCAACAGCACAATTCTTAATCAGGATGGTAAGACGAAGATTTTAAGCTATGTTGCCTGCTTCTACTCAAAATGTTTAGCGAAAATCGTTTTTTTGGTGAGCTGCCTCCTGACTAGTAAAAACGCGATTGCAATAATCTATTTTCAACTTTCTCAAGTTACCTGAGATCAGGCACAATTTTTGTTTTGCCTTTTCAAAATGTGCTTGGTAATTAAATACTATAAGCCTAGTGTCACGTCTAAGCGTAACACACGACAAACATCATTGTCAGTCATTTTGTAGCTCATTGTAGGGCTTATTTTAACTCATTTTAGCTCGTAGTAGCTCATTGTAGCTCGTAGTAGCTCATTGTAGATGATTGTAGATCACTGTAGGTCATTGTAGGTTATTCGTTGGTTTAGTAACTACGACACACGTCCCCTGATCTTTTCTTTGTTATCTTTTATAAAATATTCATTTTACCTCATACAGGGATTACACGTTCGGTCATGGTAGCTCATTGTAGGTCATTGTAGATCATTTTAGGTCATTGTAGGCCATTGTAGGTCATTGTAGATCATTGTAGATCATTGTAGGTCATTGTAGGTCATTCCTTGTTTCAGTAACTACGAGCTTTATAAGCCGGCTTCCCGGCACGGGTGTTAACTGTTTTCCAAGGTGAACTCCTCGAAGCAAGAAAATCGCTCACTGAAAGTTTTCTTTCTACAGCCAAATTTATAACTAAATATTCTTCGGAACGTTTTCTTTCTATCTGTGGTGAGCAAATATATCTGAAGGCTTTTTAAAGTTCTGTAAGTTTATATCAAACCGTTCAAACCTGATACTAGGTCAGATCATTGACTCAAACAACGGCTACAAACGTGCATAAACTTGCCGCATAAACTGTCAGCGTGAACTGTGCAAGACTTCATGAAATTAGATATAACAAAAACAAACTTCAAATACAATAGTTACTCAGGCTTACCATTCGAGATTCAGTTCCTGAAAGCTATCAAGGAAGGCCACAGTTACTTGAGACTTTTAAACCCTCTTACGCATTAAGCAAGGTGAAAAACGAAAACGATGCCATCCGAAATCGAATTACCAAATTTTGACAAGCGACGCGTTTCTTAACCAAAAACCCAGTAAACAAACCAGCCATGAATCACAGGAGACTCTTGATAGCAGCTGTATTTCATTTTGTACATCCAGAAGAAAAAGACAGTTAAAAACACCACAACTTGACACAAAACTCTTCAGCTTCAGCTGTCAAGGTAAACAATTTTCAAGATGCTGCATAATTTTTTCGCATGAACTCACCTGTCAAATTTTGACCAATCAGAGTATAAAAATTGGACGTAGAGCGTCACCAACGCGTGACCATGGTAAGATAAGGTCTTCCCCGCCTGTACTTTTAAAAAGACTGGCAGAGTTTTCGCTTCCGAAGTCAGTTTGAAATCAAAATTCAAAATTCTAATAGTGCGGGGCCATAGTGACATAAACACAACATATTTGATATGAATTTTTGGAAAAAAAAACTTGAGCCTGCGATCATTTGAAACTTGTAGTTTGTCAGCGGATAACTTCAAAAAATACTCGACCTCGATGGGTCGACACTTGAGCCCGCGCTACGGTCGGGTGATACTGGTCAGCGGATGCCCTGTTTTGACAGCTGTCAATTGATCACAACATTGATGTGCAATTAGTTTTCTCTTGGGCTCCCAAACTAGCTAAAAGTGTGAGAGTAAACATTGGTTGTCCTGTGGTGCGGACGGACGGACGGTCGGTCGGCGGTCGGTGTACGGTCACGTGATAACCCAATTTTCTGGGATGGGTGGATTAACTAAGCTATGGGGCTCCGCCCACGCGCGCGCGAAGCGCGCGCCTGAAGCTCGGCTATAGTAATAACAGCCCAGACTAAAAAAAAATTGGCTACCTTTACTGGTAATTGCTGAAATTATTTAAAAACAATTTACCTAGGTTCCTGACGATGGTTGTACTTACCATCGATTTCACAAATGTAAGGAAGCCTTTTATCGCATGGCAGGTCATTCCATTTCCTTGACGGCATTTTTATATGTCCACAGTGCTCTATACCACCAGTATGGTCTGGTTGCCGAGAATCCCAGAAAGTGAAAGTAACGCCTATAGTATCACCCCAGAACCAGAATTTGTTGGCCCTGTTAGTACCTCTGTGCAAACCAATCCAAAAAAAACCACTAGCACTTGAAGGAATTTCTCGTAATTTGGCTTCCGAATTCAGTACAGCGAGGTTTGATCCCCCCTCTTCGCACGCGGATTTTGCCGCATTCCAGTCCAGTTGGTTAGAAAAGACTTTGTAACATCCACCATGAAAACTTGAAATCCAACCTCGTGGACAAAGTACTGAAAGGAAATAAGAGCTGTCGTTACCTCGTTGTTAGTGCGGTTGTGTTCTAATGTAAAAAGAGGTGAAGTGGGTGAGCAATCAAAGAAGTGATTGTGGAACATAACTCCAACATTAAGAACTTTCATCAGCATACGCAAGAGATATTACCGCCGCCAGTTATATGAAGATGGCCCTTTACCATCTTCAATCTGGCAGAAACCTCTGGCAGTGTTTTGAAGGAACAACGCTTATTTTGCCATATTATTTACATTTTGCCCTCTTGCATAATATCCTTGACACATTTCTTGTGAATGTAAAGTTCTGTGGACTAACCTTACGGCAATCAAGATATTTAAAGCCAATATATAAAACACCCTCAAGAAAGTCCTTGCTGCAAAGAACTGTCCTACAAAGAAAGGCTACAAAAACGTATTAATCTTTTACCCCTTATCTATTGTTTCGAGTTTCCAGATTTGGTTTTCTTTTTCAAATGTGAAAATGGCTTAGTTTATGTAGACTTTTAGTAGTTCGTGACTTTCAGCCAAGGGCCTTCATTCTTATTATAATTGTCTAGCTAAGTGTTGGAAAATTTCCGTAAGTCCTCCATTACCAGAGCTCCGCGCTTTCGTGACTCTTATTCTAGCAAAAAATATGGAGTTCTGTCCATAACACTATAAAATATGCTGAAGCTTTGTGCAATTCCAAAACCCAAAGAAAAAACATTTCTCGTCTATGCTAAACATGTTTTCGATGTAAACAATATAGGATTTTTCAAAATTGTCTGCACCATGTGCCATCAAATTAATTTTTGTTTCGTTTTCAGTTCGTTTGTAAGTTATCCTTAACTAGTGAGAGCATGCGTGGACACGAACGTGAACGGTAAGAATTCTGAAGCGGAGCGTTAAATCCTTCCCCCAATTTTTTTTAGTATACCGTTGCGGATTGTATTTCGTCGGATAATGCGATATAATGGGCCACAAGATAAAAGAGGTGCACGAGGTCCACTAAGGCAGTTGAAACTAACTCGAAAAGAGTGCACGAGGAAGACGATGCAACAACGGCCAACGAACGCGAAGAAGATGAAGAAGTAGTGGACGAAGACGAAGTGCCGACTTTACAGAAATTAGAAGCATGTTGGTTGATACAAATCACCGTTGCTGATATTCAACGCAAGCATAACTCCTTTTTTGAAGAAATTGCGACACTTGAGTTGAAATCGCAGTAGTCGAAGTTGGCGGCGACTAAATCGGAGATGGAGAAGGTAAAGAAGGAAATACAAGATTGCAAAACCAACTCGAGGATGTGAGAATAAAAGCGGAAAAGCGGGAAGATGAAATAGAAGAACTCTACACCCTCCAAGACGATTTAGAACAGTATTTAAGGAAAAACTCACTTGAAATACATGGAATACCAGAAAGCGCATATAAATCCACAGAAGACGCAGTTATTCATGTGGCCAAAACTCTTTACGTTGTTATCGGACCCGAGGATATCGACATATCTCTCAAGCTCCATTTAACCGCCGCCTGGTTAGCTCAGTTGGGAGAGCGCCGGTCTGCCGAGCGGGAGGTCGCGGGTTCACACCCCGGCCGGACTAACACTCAGGGTCTTTAAATAACTGAGAAGAAAGTGCTGCCTTTGTAATGACATCTGCAAATGGTTAGACTTTCTAGTCTTCTCGGATAAGGACAACAACCGTAGGTCCCGTCTCACAGCACTTTCACTGATTTGTTCTTGTCGGACGTAAAAGAACCCACATCACTATTCGAAAAGAGTAGGGGTTGTAGACCCCGGTGGTGTGGCTAACCTTTACGGGTTGTGGGATTGGGTAGGGATGGCACCTCGCATGGGACCTGAGTCCCGTTCGTGCTCATTCCCTCTGGGCAGGGTTGTGTCCAGAAAATCTGGTAAATAAATAAATAAATAATGAAGGTGAGAAACCGATTATAGTGAAGTTTATTATATAACGACAAGACCAAATCAAAACTTTACAAGAGGAGAACAAGTTTAGAAAACATTAAACTATCTTAAATTTTGTCAAATGCCTCCGCTGCAACTCGAGCCGAGACAAAAAAAAATCTTCATCAACGAAAACCTTACATCATTTAGGAAAGGACTTGTGAAGAAAGCAAATGAGAAAAAGAGGCAAGGAATGATTCATAGTGTATGGACCCTGGACGGCAAAGTATACCTTAAAAATTCGCCTAATGGAACTCCTATAAGAATTTTGGAATATGTTTAATACGTAGAATTAGCAGTTAATTCTAATAATCCCTCCCTTTTCTTTTCTTTGGAAAGGGGATACGATTTGAGAAGTTTGGACTGACAGCAGCTCTAGGATTATTGTTTTATATTACTGGCCGGCTTACGGCAGTTACGGCACCCGATAGTGTTACTATAATTCATTTGTGTTTCTTAGGCCCGTTTCAAACGTCGTGCAAAAAAAAAGGGAAACAAAAAATGTACTTTATTTGAGTATCAATGTATTTAGCACGAAAGTGCCAATTGGGGACACTATATTCGTCTCCTACTGGAGACGGGACCGCCATTTTACGTGGTCATCCGAGCCACGCGAAGGTCTAGCCATTTGCAGGGCAAGGGTAGTACCTTCATTTCTCTGTTATTTTAAGACCCTGAGTATTGGTCCGATCCCAGGAATCGAACCCGCAACCTCCCGCTCTGTAGTCAAGCGCTCTACCGACTGAGCTAATCCTGCCGCGGTACAACTGCGTGCCGAACTCAATTGATCGAATTAAATTCGACTTTAGCACGGAAGTAGCGCGACGTTTGAAACCAAGTCGTGCTACTGCCGTGCTACACGTCAGTAGCTCGACTTGGTTTCAAACGTCGTGCTACCGCTATGCCGAACTCAATTCATAAATTTAAATATATTAGAATACATTTAAAAGTTTGCTAAACTGTTTCTTTATTTTTGTGTTTTGTTTTCGGTAACAGCCGTTCTACTTCAACTGAATTAAATTCATTCGACGTCTGAAACCAAGTCGTGCTAGTGTCGTGCTGCAGTCGAGCTACAGTCGAGCCAGCTTAGCACGGCAGCAGCACGACGTTTGAAGCAGGCCTTAGTTGCCTTGCACCAGATTTTCCGTGTTTTTTCTTTCTTTCTTTGTTGGTGTTTGTTTTTGTTTTTTTTTGGTTTTTCTAGTTTAAATTTTCATGTCTCACATCAAGGTGTTATCTTCAATTATGAGAGGCTTAGTAATCAAAACAATTGGAGCAATACAAAGCGCTTTTTCATTGTTTTTCTGTTTCTCTGTTATTAGTCTTTGTATACTTTTCATTGCCATTGTTCAACTTCTATATCGTTCCTGTTGGGTGTTAATCGGTTTGCTGCCTTTCTGTTCGCCTATACCCTCATTTCCTTTTGTCTCTGCCTTGTAATCATCACCTTCACGCTAGTTATTAGTTCCTTGAATGTGAGGGGCCTGTCAAACCCCCTGAAAGGCGGGAAACATTCCGGTGGCTTAAAATGAAAAACTATGGAATTTTTTTTTCAAGAGGTCTATTGCACTAAGGAAAAGGAATCCATTTGGACGTCAGAGTGGGGTTTCACCGCTATTTTTAACTGCTTTTCCAGTGCAAACACCAGTGTCTGTATGTTATTTAAAATAACTTTCAATTCGAAAGAATCAGACAATATACTGATAAAGAAGAGAGATTTATTGTTAAAAATAGATGTGAAAACAGATAACAAGGTTATTACTTTGGCAAAAAATGTTCCCCCAATCAAAACCTCATTCCCTTGGAAAAAGCCGCGGCCGAAAACCTCCGTTCTTCCGATAAATTTTGCAAAGAAACTTATCAGATCATCGTCAAAAGAAAGACTTCCGCGCCAGTGAAAAGCCAGGAAAAGTGGCTTTCTGAGAATATTTTTTCAAATATACAAGTGAACTGGGAAAACACCTATCAGCTACCATTTTTATATACTATGGAAACAAAATAAAGAGCATTCCAATTTAAATTTCTGCATAGGAAGATAGTTACAAACGACTTCCTTCTTAAGATAGGCAAAAAGGAAACAGACTCATGTTCTTTTTGTGCTGATTCCACAGAGACACTTATGCATCTTTTTGGGGACTGTAGATCTGGAAATACAAGATTGCAAAACCAACTCGAGGATGTGAGAATAAAAGCGGAAAAGCGGGAAGATGAAATAGAAGAACTCTACACCCTCCAAGACGATTTAGAACAGTATTTAAGGAAAAACTCACTTGAAATACATGGAATACCAGAAAGCGCATATAAATCCACAGAAGACGCAGTTATTCATGTGGCCAAAACTCTTTACGTTGTTATCGGACCCGAGGATATCGACATATCTCTCAAGCTCCATTTAACCGCCGCCTGGTTAGCTCAGTTGGGAGAGCGCCGGTCTGCCGAGCGGGAGGTCGCGGGTTCACACCCCGGCCGGACTAACACTCAGGGTCTTTAAATAACTGAGAAGAAAGTGCTGCCTTTGTAATGACATCTGCAAATGGTTAGACTTTCTAGTCTTCTCGGATAAGGACAACAACCGTAGGTCCCGTCTCACAGCACTTTCACTGATTTGTTCTTGTCGGACGTAAAAGAACCCACATCACTATTCGAAAAGAGTAGGGGTTGTAGACCCCGGTGGTGTGGCTAACCTTTACGGGTTGTGGGATTGGGTAGGGATGGCACCTCGCATGGGACCTGAGTCCCGTTCGTGCTCATTCCCTCTGGGCAGGGTTGTGTCCAGAAAATCTGGTAAATAAATAAATAAATAATGAAGGTGAGAAACCGATTATAGTGAAGTTTATTATATAACGACAAGACCAAATCAAAACTTTACAAGAGGAGAACAAGTTTAGAAAACATTAAACTATCTTAAATTTTGTCAAATGCCTCCGCTGCAACTCGAGCCGAGACAAAAAAAAATCTTCATCAACGAAAACCTTACATCATTTAGGAAAGGACTTGTGAAGAAAGCAAATGAGAAAAAGAGGCAAGGAATGATTCATAGTGTATGGACCCTGGACGGCAAAGTATACCTTAAAAATTCGCCTAATGGAACTCCTATAAGAATTTTGGAATATGTTTAATACGTAGAATTAGCAGTTAATTCTAATAATCCCTCCCTTTTCTTTTCTTTGGAAAGGGGATACGATTTGAGAAGTTTGGACTGACAGCAGCTCTAGGATTATTGTTTTATATTACTGGCCGGCTTACGGCAGTTACGGCACCCGATAGTGTTACTATAATTCATTTGTGTTTCTTAGGCCCGTTTCAAACGTCGTGCAAAAAAAAAGGGAAACAAAAAATGTACTTTATTTGAGTATCAATGTATTTAGCACGAAAGTGCCAATTGGGGACACTATATTCGTCTCCTACTGGAGACGGGACCGCCATTTTACGTGGTCATCCGAGCCACGCGAAGGTCTAGCCATTTGCAGGGCAAGGGTAGTACCTTCATTTCTCTGTTATTTTAAGACCCTGAGTATTGGTCCGATCCCAGGAATCGAACCCGCAACCTCCCGCTCTGTAGTCAAGCGCTCTACCGACTGAGCTAATCCTGCCGCGGTACAACTGCGTGCCGAACTCAATTGATCGAATTAAATTCGACTTTAGCACGGAAGTAGCGCGACGTTTGAAACCAAGTCGTGCTACTGCCGTGCTACACGTCAGTAGCTCGACTTGGTTTCAAACGTCGTGCTACCGCTATGCCGAACTCAATTCATAAATTTAAATATATTAGAATACATTTAAAAGTTTGCTAAACTGTTTCTTTATTTTTGTGTTTTGTTTTCGGTAACAGCCGTTCTACTTCAACTGAATTAAATTCATTCGACGTCTGAAACCAAGTCGTGCTAGTGTCGTGCTGCAGTCGAGCTACAGTCGAGCCAGCTTAGCACGGCAGCAGCACGACGTTTGAAGCAGGCCTTAGTTGCCTTGCACCAGATTTTCCGTGTTTTTTCTTTCTTTCTTTGTTGGTGTTTGTTTTTGTTTTTTTTTGGTTTTTCTAGTTTAAATTTTCATGTCTCACATCAAGGTGTTATNTTTTTTTTTAATCGGGCTCACACAGACACCCGCTCGCTTCAAAATCGGGCTCACTCAGATACCCGCTGACTTTAAAATCGGGCTCACACAGATACCCGCTCATTTTTTATAATCGGGCTCACAAAGATACCCATCATTTCATAATCGGGATCACAAAGATTCCCTCGCTTCACAAATCGGGTTGACGAAGAACCCATTAGGTTTTGGATTTTACGCCCAAGACATCCCAAGCCGGCGAGCCACAATATCCAGAAAAGAAAAGGATAATAAAGACACAAAGTGTCTACTCCCACTAAATACTAAACGATACATCATTTTAGATAAATTAAGGAAAAGTTGCTATCTATAAGCCCCCCGGCCGACCGGTAACGCAGGTGAAAAAATAACGCGAAAGCGAATGAACTATGAAGCAGGCTTTGTTACGAAAGTAGTAATAAATCCACACGCCGACCACGAACAAACACGGGCGAAACACAGAATGCCGACCCACCGAAACGGAATAATATAAACAACAACTCACCCCAGCTGTAGCAGGTAATACATACGGCCAGAACCGTCCACAACTAGCGCAGAATGAATGTACGGAACAGACGGAAGAACAGAATCCGTCACGCCTCCTTGACGTAGAAGAGGAGTACGAAGGTCGAGCACGTGGCGCAACCGAATTTGCGAGCTCCAGGACAGCCACACTCGTAGACACGCACGACTGAAAACCATTGTCTACATCTCGTGGTGGTTACAGAAGCAAAAAGAGCACGGCCTGCTGCGACTGTTCTGCAACTCTGCCGACGAAACGGCAGCAGGCCATGCTGCGGAAAACTTTCCTGACCCGCGTTCAATGACACTCTTTGCGAACTGACAACTCTGCATATATGATTCAGGTTTATTTAATGGCTAATACGTGATCACTACGATGGCTGGAATCCCCGGAATTCACATACCCCTTGAAATTGGGGATTCTTGCTGATGTCAGCATTTTTGAGACCGGTTTGGGGCGGTTTGGACTGGTTATTTTTGCTAATTAATTGGCAAATCTGATCTTGGCTTAAAGACAAGGCGATATAATATAGTATATGAGTATGAGTGCAATTGACGCAGTTCTTGATCTTTGTAATATTCTGGTAGAATCTAATGTTCAGCTATGTAAACAAATTCAAAAAGGCGGACTAGATGAGGAAAATCTATATAACCATTTTAAAAATACCGCGAAAACAATCAAAAAATATAGTAAATTAATCGAGTCACATGGCAATTTGTCTACTGAGCCACATGGTAGTTTGTCTACTAAGCCAAGATGTAAGGAGGAAGGAAGAGATCAGTATAATGACGAGGAATATGATAAATTAATTAGCCGAATCGAAAAAATCAAGCAAAACCGCCAAAATGAAGTCGAAAATGATAAAAAATGGAGCGATATGAATGACGAAAATGATGAATGAATTGGGAGATTGAAGCGGTTGAAACTGGTTGAACTGGTCGAGGAACCCGAATCGGATATTTATGAAATTTTGAAAAAAGAGGAAGAAATAGAGCGCCAAAGAGATGAATATTTTGAGGAACGAGAAAGACAAGATCAATTAAACCGGATTGAACCAGTTGAGCCCGATCCAGATTATGAATTTGAAGAGCTAAATAATCATGCAAATGAATTGCTTCTTAATAGGAAACGAATGAAAAAACAAGAATTTATCAAAAAACTGGATATTTATATGATAATAATGCGGAGAAAATCAATAAACGAATCAGAAAAATGTAAAGAATTGAACAAAATAATAATTAGTTTTAAACTCAAATTACAGGAACGCCGGAAAATACCGGTTGAAATGATCGAATTAATGCTACAACGTGTGAAAGAAAGTAGCGAATAAATTAGATAGTCGAATAGTCAGATAGTTAGTCAGTTAGATAACCGGTTGATTGGGTCAGTTAGTTAGGTTAATTAATTAGAATTATTAGCGGTTAGTTTATACAAATTTTCAAGATGTTTCTGTGCTAATGGCGGTAATTGTGTGTTAGATGGCGCCATAGAATTTGTTGAATAATTAGGCATGTGTGTTAGTTGCCGTAAATTGGGTTTTTGTTTATTACCCTTAGTACTATTGGGTTTTTGTTTGGTACCTTTGGAACCTTGTTTTGTCAATAAATGAGGAAAAAGATAATGATACTGTACAATTAATTCGATAATCTGTCGTCTTTTCATTTTTGTAACTGCAAACTTATCTGCTTTCATTTTGATAATTTCTTTTTTGAGTTCTTTGAGAGTGAATGTATTCAGATTTTTTCGTAATTGCACTTTTTGGAGTTCATTACAGCTGTCTAATAATTGGTCAGCATTTATATACTAATTAATTAGATAATCCTGTGGATAACCCTGTAATGGTTTCTAGTGTGTCATTATTATAGAAATGTTTGATGCAATATTTACACGGTACTCTGATACCTTTCATATACTCATGAATATTTTTGCTAATCTTATCGTAATCATTACTGAGCACAAAAGCATAGCCATTATTAACGTACTTCTTTTTCATCTCCTTTTGTGCTTTACTTACATGATAATTATTAGTTGGTGATTTGAATTCAATGCAGAGGCCTTTATAATCTTTGTGATAATCGAGTACCATTAGATCAGGCTGTCCTCTTATATATCCTTTCTTATATGAATCTAGTCTCTTATCCTCAGTATCCTGATTTTCACCCAGTCCTGCTACTAATATGGAATCTGGATAATATCTTCTTATGAGGTCCACTAGTTTATAATGGAGGTCAGTCTCATTGCCAATCATGATCACCTTATTCCAGGGTTTATTGAATGGCATGTAGTAGCCATGTTTTCGGATGGATGGAAGGACTTTTGATGTTACCCAATGTTTGAACCTTTTTGCAGAAGCAAGTTTTGAGGATAAAATAAGAGAATATAATCCAGATTCTTTGATTATGGTGTAATTTCTGGCTTGAACCTGCGGCTCCGTTTTGGAGCTCCAGCTTATTATGCGCTTATCATCACATGGAACATGATCCCATATACATTTACTTATTACAATATCCAAGTACAGTAGCTATTTCTTTACCAAGGAACCAAATATTCTGCTTTGCATCAAGAAATGAAGTCAATTCGATATTCATCTCTTCATTAGTATACTTTTTTTCAATCATATTTACCACATATATAGGTTACATGAATATTACTATCAAACAGACCCAAAAGTATGGTGAATATGATAGATTAAAAAGTATGCTAGGCCTGAGGTGCCGTTTCAGCACATTTGACCTGACGCCCCGTTTCAGGGCATCAACAAAGCGAAACGTCCACGCCAATGATTGGGGTATTTTGTTGACCCGGCGTTTTACCGGGGCAATAATCTGGGTTAAGGTCATAGACCAACCGCGTGAATCACGCTGTTGCCCAGAGAGGTGTGATAACTTTACTCCTCCTCTTCCTCCGTTTCAAAGATTGCACCTAAAACGCCTGTTAATGTCATCTCAGCTTATTCCAATTTTTTGGATATTAATTTCTTGTGGTATAATGTCGCAATTTCTTCGTCTAATTTTTGGATTTTAGTGAATCGTGCATTAAGCTCGGATTTCTTACTCTGGATTTTAGTATCAAGCTTTCTTATATGATCGTCCATATATACTGTTAGTTAGATAAATCTTGTAAACTGCTCAGTGGGATCCAAGAATTAAAGTCATCACTATCGCCTAACCATTTTACAAGAGCTTGTTTCTTCTTATAATCCCTCCGAATGACCTTTTCAATGCGAAATACATCCTGTTTTGCTGGTGGTAATTCAGGCTCATAAAAGCTGCCTTGTATTTCCTCATTATTGAGATCTTTTAATCTGTACGTGATTGGATTTGTGGATTGGATTTTATCGATCAGGAATATCTCTTCTGTCCAATTAGGTGTGTACCCTTTATCAAACACCTTTCTCTCGTACTTACTTATCCTAACCTTATCGCCAACCTTGAATTTGGGTTTAGATGATGATTGCTCCATATCACCATACAGATTGTAATTTTAATGGAACTGTGTTTGGTGTTGTTATATTGCTTCAATGTTTTTGGTAGTATGTCAAGATATTGGGTATTACACTGGACAGTAAACTGCTTCCACATTTTGGTTTTAATTGTACGGTTCCATCTTTCACATACACTAGATTTTTCCTCATTCTCGGTTGAATATAGTGTTATGTTATTCTTTTCCAACAGTTTTTTCAAATTTTTGTTATAATATTCTTTCCCCTTATCAGTCCAAAGATATTGTGGTTTACCGCCTTCTTTGAAGATGGTTTGAATGCTTCTGTGACAGTTTCCCCTTTCTTATCCTTTAATGGTACAATCCAGCCATATTTGGAGAATAGATCTAGTACCATGAGAAGATATCTATAACCTTTGTTCCATTTGCTGAACTGTTGCATCTCAACCAGATCTGAGCACCAAATTTTGTCAATACCGGTTGTAATAACACGCCGCCGAGTAAAGTTGCGTTTTATGGGTTTATGTAGTTCATCTGCTAATTGTTGCTGCCAACTAATACCCGACGGCTTTTCTAGTTTAAACCAAGACCGAGTTTCTGTTTTGTGTTTATTAGATTTCTAGCTAACCAGTGTCCCCATTGTCGTTCATTAAAGGGAACGGCGTCTAATGATTTTATCATTTTACGGTCAGCTTTATTTTTGCACTTTCGGTTATCACCACAAACACTATAATCAATATCATGCTGCATGGCCACTGCATCGGTTAGCCCAGTTGGTTGATCATACATTTCTAATATTTCACCAGTTTTTGGATTGTATCTCACTTGATTTTCGAGATCGTTGTAGGGGCCTGTATATTTATGCCCTGGTAAGGTCCATCTGCCTTCGGGTCTTGGTAATTTACCAATCTGCTTGTGGATATCTATAGCACCACCATCAAGATCTTTCCTGTTTGATTTGTAGTTTTTCTTTGGTCGTATTTTGGTTGATAATTGGTTAAGAGCTTGAGAACCGACTTTCTGGATCATTGGATTTAATTTGTCCAAAGCATAATCTATAGCTTTTTTCTGTAACTTTTTATTGCGTAATGCTTCTGACCCATAATACCTTCCCATCTCAACGGTCTGTTTGGCCATATATGGTAGGGCATGATGTACAAATAGATCAGTAGCGGTTCCTACAGCGGTGTCAAATAAATCGCCCCCTGCTTGAGAGGGCCCAATTAGTTTCCCTTCTTTACAAATTTAAACTTTTTTATTCCACATTCAGCGCAAGTACACCAAAACATGAGTCTACCATTCTTGGCAGTTTTATAACCCGAAGGTTCTACACATTCTTTTTGCTTCTTCTGTTTAACACAATAAGATTTCACCATTATTATATATTTATGTTATATAATTATTGTCTAATCACTATCTGGAACATAAGTTTCATGGCTGCTATCTGACTCATAATCACTCTCACTCAAGGGTTCACAGTTGCAGCACTCGAAACATCCATATTGATTCACATAATGTGGAGTAACTTCTTGGCAATAAACACAAAACTTTTCAGTCATATATAATAGTGTTACATAAAATAGTTTATGGTGATTTACGATTTGATTTGTAAAACTGAATTTGGGGTTGTGTATAACGTCTAATAATAATGATTTCCCTTTCTGTCTCTCTAGAAGATAATATAAGCACCAATAACCACACAAAACACTGTCTCTTTCATGTATTTCATCTGATGAGTACACTATTCTTTTACCGCTTGTTTTCAGATAATGTTTAATCTCACTGGGCATGATTAATCCGAACGGATCAAAATACTCGCAATATTGCTTATCCACGTTTCTATAACAGACCCAATGATTGCCCCCGCCCATTGAATCATCCAAATTAATTATTCCTGTTTCTAGTTTGTGTATTTTTTGTGGTAGATTATTACGGCTGTAGATACCCCTGAAATATTTTATTCCCAATTGTGTAACCCATTGTAACAAATCAATATTCGATAACGGTTTATTTATGAATCTTATAGTATTGTTCCTAGAATTGGGATTGAATTGAATGGGCTGTTTTTGCCGAGCAGCAGTCCCTTTCCCTTTCTTTTTTTTTTTTAGTCCTGCACCAACCGGGTTTTCCCATGTTCCAAAGAAAGGTGGCGACATGTAGGGATATGGATTATACATTCCGTGGCCATTAGTTGTATCGGAAACATAAACAGATGTTGTACTAGCGGAACCGGTTCTGTCAACCTGCAGTCCTTTTCCCGTCAATGAGAGTTCCTAAGAATCCACCGCTCTGTGTTTTCGTCGGTCTGATATCTAATCCGTTGCCAGTTTGGAGAGACTTAAAAATATCCTTTTTCTGCCCCGTGGTCAGTAAATGTTTGTATGCAACCAATTGTGCTATTTTGTCCATTGGAATAAGAAAACCTCCTCGTTGACCTTTTCCGAATATTTTTCCACACCGAGACTGGCTAATCCTCATAACGCTCCTGTTACAAGTGGAGGGGCAGCCTTTTTGGCTAGGGGCATTGCCATAGGTAACAACTTGCTTCCTAAATTGATTAATGATCCCCACAAACTACCACCCTATCTAACAGACTTTCTGATTTGTGTTTTTGATATTTTGATATCCGATCCTGTACCCTGGTTCATTGCTTTTCTCATCCTATTGATCTGTGTTTTTGTGAGCATTAATTCGTGTGGACCGGATAACTCATTTCTGGCTAATCTGATGGTTATTGCTGAGTTATTATCATAAGCTCTCGAAAGCTTTTCCATTTGTCCTTTACTAAGTGACACACCATAAGGATAATATTTTGTCATTACTTATATATAATATGCGTTACACAATTTATGATCTGAGTATTATTTTACCATCTTTCTGAATTAGCTCAACATCTTGCTCATATAATGTTAATGCGTAAATTGAGTAGGCTGTTGCCGTTGTTCCAGATAGCTCATATTTAAATGTCAGTTTTGTGGTGCCATCCTTAATGTCCATTTTCTGTTTTGTTAAGTCGAAATATAGGAAGGGGAATAGTGTACTCAAATTAGATTTATTGAGTAATGACCCTTCACCGTATTCATTATTTTTGTGAACATATTTCAACACGTCCCTATGACTCTAGTCATATCAGTACTTGGTGTGTAATGTATTTCGGGGTATTCATTTCAGTTTCCAACTTCCAGGTGACAATTGGATAAGGTTCTTGGGTCAGTTGATACAGAGAATGTATTGTACAAGAATGGATTAGCTGTCTGGGCATCGATATTCGCATCACTGATTATAAACACAAACACGTGTCGGGGTTTCGAAATACCAGAAGAGATTCTGAAATTCCCAGCTTTCTGCTAGCTACTATTTGATCTTTCAATATTCTCTCTCAAATAAGTCCACTTATGATTTTTAAGGTATTGACTCATGTAGGATGATTGGCCCTCACTGTTAAAGGTTATTCGCGGAACATACAATTGCATTCTAGTGATAACCACTCTGCAATTAGCCCCGACTTGCCAAATTAGATTACCATCTGACTCAATCTCAAAATTCATCTCAACTCTTGTATTAGGTAACAGCTCATCTTCTAACATTTCAAAGATTGAGTATCTGTTCAGTGGTATTTCTGTATTCACTTTAGCTGAGACACCTAAGAGTGCTTTCCGAAGGGCAAAACCTTTATTATAATTAGCTACTACATCATCCAACATTAATCCTGCATCATCGGCGTTATTGGCAGCATTTCTTCTATGAGTTACTCGTCTTTTTTTGAATCTTGTTTCCTCTTGGGTGTCTTGTTGTATCAAGATAGAAAAACTCATTGCTGGCGGTTTGTTCGGCGTAAGCGGGACTGTACTCAAGTAAGTTCTTAATATTTACCGCGTGATTCGCGTCATTACAATCATACACTTTCTTACCATTGAGCTTAATATCAAAATGTTTCAAGAATGAGTACGAGCCGTTCACAATTCCATTATGATCTGCTAGTGCAATGTTACCTCCATTAGCCAGGAAGACTACTTTAAAATCAAGACTGATTCGAGCATTATACCAGTCAAATGGTGTAACCTCTCCGCTGTTATCAACAACAAATCTGTAGCCATCTTTCTTTTGGTGAGCATTATTGGCGACAGTTGTATTTAGTGCTGTTTCTAGGTCAAAAATAACATCTTCATATCGTTCAACATACTTTGGATCTCTAAATGATTTCATATAATAAAAGATTACATAAATCGTCTCATCTGACCCCCGGATAATAATTGATTTACTCGTTCATTAATCTCGTAATCGCTTAGCTCTCTTGATTGTGGTTTTTCTATTGGCGATGTCGCTACTGGTAATACTGCTACCGGTGTTTTGTTATTCTTTTTGCTCAATAACTGAATAGTTTTATGGCCTGCTTTTTCGCCAGCATATTCACCAGCTTTAGTAGCAGCTTTTCGAACGGCCTTTTTTGCTGCCGTTTTAGCAGCTTCCTTCTTGGTCTTTCCAAACAACTTTCTGCCGATCGTTTTGAAAACATCGGTAACAACACCTTCCCCATAAATATGCTTCTTAACATATCTCCCCGTTTTAACATCATAACGTTTCTTAAATTCTGATTGTCTCATTGTTTATTATTAGATTACATATTATGCTGGTTTGGATCGCAATATAAATGTCATAAACCAGTCAATCTTATTTAGTCCAATTGGTCGCCCCAGTGAATCTGTGATGTAAAACCTCATTTGTGAAATATTTTAAAAGCTGGGAAATTTCATTAAACAATAGTCTTCTGGGTTCAAATGTGAATGGGAAACTTCTTGTCAAATTGTCAGTTGGAATGACGGCTAACGTTTTAGTATTAACACCATTCAATATGCTGTTCGTAATGGCATCGGTATTGATATAAATCATATCAATGGAATTTGTGATATTAGGTAGATTACCATCCCCATATTCTGTTTTCCTTACAATTTTCTCTGTAAATCCAATTAACTCGCCAAATTTACTATTTCTCAGATCCAGTTGGTACTTGTTGTCCATCTGAACGAGAATCTTGTATGTGGATAATACAGATGTTAGATTAATGTAGTATACATCATCCTTTTTTGCATCAGTAGTTTTATGGCCTTTCTTTTTCATGTACTGATGGAGATGGTCATTTAGATCTGAGTAAGTATACATCCCATCCACAAATTTGACGGTTTGCCATGATGGGCCACCATCAGGAGTAAGTATACATCCCATCCACAAATTTGACGGTTTGCCATGATGGGCCACCATCAGGTGAGTATTTTATTTGATTATTTTGATACTGATCTGAAATATTATGTCAACTGTAAGTCATTGTGGCCTTATCCAAGGCTATTTCATGTGTCATATTACTTTGGAAATTACTTTTATGAAATCTTCTGCTTTATTCTGTCCGATTTTCTGTCTATTAACAGATGAAATATGGATTGCTCTTTCTTGCATTTATATTATTAGATTACATTATATACTGTTTTATCAGACTATTAAGCTGGTTATTATTTAGAACACCTAATTTGTTCAGTGTGTGAGCAATTTTGGAAAATTCATTTTTCACACCATTATTTCCAGCCAATATGGATCCACCTAACAATTCCAATCTGTCCAGTAGGTCAGCTGGGTTATTATAATAAACAACCCCTGAACCGATTTTTTTGTACTTATTACTTGTTCGGTGAATTGGAATATCACTTATTCTGTTCAGGTCATCAAATACCATTTTTGATAATGGCGAATACTTCTTTTTACTGTTGAACCGCTTTGTGAGCAGATCAAGAGTATCGAAGTCCACTTGCTTATGATATACTTTTTTACCATCCTTATGAGCAATTAGTTTAAGCTGGCCGCAAAGTTTGGGTACGTCAATTCTTACATTTTCATAAACACCAGTATTAGGGTTAATCTTATAGGCATTTCTCTTTTTTTGTGTGTAAATACCTTTCCCAACCTTTAGAGTTTTTGTACCCTCCTCTAAAATGCCAATTCTTTGTCGATACTTTCTAATAATCTCAATTCCTTCATCATATTCGGCAATCTGGTCCTTATTCTTCTTTCTGTTAGTTTTTGTTGTGCTCAAATGGGCTTTTTTCCTGCCTAACGCCTTATTCATT